TGACTTGACTTGGTCTTGGATGGTGACATTTCCCAATTGAAATGAATTAAATCTGTCTATATGTTGTGAAATTAAAAAAAAATCATCATGTCTTCTGACTGCTAGTTGCTGTCTGTGGATGCATTCTGCCAGTCTTCTGCCTGTTTGTCCTACATAGTAGTTGTTGCACTATGTTGTTGTCCACGTCTATAGATCAAAAACTAGTCAAAGAACCCATGACTGCATTGGTCCACAGCACACCTGACTTAACCTAATACACAAAGATCAAGACACTCAGGATTATGGATCTCATAAACTCTGCTTAATTACATACTTCCAATCTGATGGACATATTTACCAACAAATTAAAGAGACACCTATGTGATCACTGCTTTCAGGATGTATAGCAGAAGTCGTCATACAACATCTAAAAGCACTTCCACAAATACAACTGAAAATATGGATCAGATATGTAGACAACACCCTTGCCATAATAAAAAGGATCAATTAGAGAATACGCACAGAACCATCAATAACATTTTAAAGGAATCCAGTTTACTAGAGAAGAAGAAAACAACAACTTGCTACCCTTCCTCAACATCCTGATCAGCAGAGACCACAATCTTAAACTAGAAACACTGCGTAAAAACTTTATTTAGACAAGCCCAAACACACTGCAGCAATCTGGAACAGAAGAAAAAGGAAACACAGCATCTATACAACATATTCCAACAAAATGGATATCCACTCAACTTTATCAAAAAGTCCCTGACCACTCAACCCAATACAACACAAACCCTAAAAAGAATTACACTGCCATAGAGAATATTTCAGAAACCACCAACAGACTAGTACAACCACAAGGAATCAGCATAGCATACAAGCCAACTAAAGCCCTAAACAGACCAAAAGACCAACAACCCCAGAAGAAAAACAGGAGTCATCTACAATATACAGTGTAAGGACTGCAACAACCAATTTGTAGGAAAACAGACAGAAGACTGGCAGAACACATCCACAAATACCAACTAGCAGCCAGAAGACATGATAAAAATTCTTTAATTTCACAACGTTTCTAGAACCCTGGCACTCTGACAAATCAGCCATCAATAGACACATAGACATTAATAACATCTATGCAAAAGAGACTATCACCCAGCCCAAAAAGGAACAAAAAGACCCAAGCATCTCTCCACCATCAATCAGAACCCAGACGAGCATAGATTAATTCCAAGGTTAATATCAGACCAACAAAAAAGTAAACAATACCCCAATCAAAAAACTGCCAAAAAAGCCAACAGCAAACAGCCCATCAAAGAATCTCTAAGACTTCCCCCCACCAACACTGACAGGCAAAGCCACTAGAATATAAATTGACAGTAAACAGCACTCCTTAATAGCACTGATGATGTTACCTAGTTTGGGTAATGAAACATTTGCAAGAAAAAAAGCAAGCTCAGAGAGTACCAAGGATCTCTCATGTCAACCCTGAGCTACAAATATTCTCCTTCATTAGTATTTAGTAAATGTGAGTGAACATGGTTAAATAATTTCCTACAATGAAAAATTCATTAATTTTCATAAAGCATCAGCGTACTATTTTTATTAATAAAATGGTGGGGAAAATATTGTTGCTGTTTACTATCATTCTCTAATTTTATCATAGTAGGGCAGGCTGGTTAATTAATACTGGCTGATGTAGCAAGACTGATGAACAATCAATCTGCTCAGTTAATTGATTCTTTTTAATATATCCCCTTAAAAAGGCTTCCTTTTATTTACAATGGACACTATAACTGTATTCTACTCACATCCTATTCAACAAATGTGACATCAATATATTTTGCAATATATGACTATTATATATAATGTATCTGAACATGGTTATTCAGACTCTCAGATTTGTCCTTATACAGCAAATTCTTATATACAAAGTAAACAAAATACAATAAAACAATATGAGATCAAAGCTATGTAAGGGAACCATTAATTAAAAGAGTAGCCCAGCACAATTTTGCAGGATTATCTGGGAAGAATGCAGAAAATCTAAATATGTAATGGATAAAAAAAGGGAGAAGGAAAGTATGACCAACGACTTTTTTTATAAGGGGATGTTGTAAAAATGTATGAAAAATTGTAGGTTGTACAAGGTATAAATTTGAAATGTTTCTTCTTCCTATTCAGAGAATGACTGAATGCAGGTTATGTGTCTTTATAAAGTAAAGAAAGATTTCCTAGTGAAGTAGCATTTGTACCTGCTTTCTAAAGACAAGATACAGAAAGGTTTCAACTAGATTAGGAACTTAAAAAACATGGCACTGATTACTTCTATAGTCCTTAGTATACAGCTTTCTTTATCATTTCAGTAAATGTTTTAAAAGGAAAGATTAAAGTGTTTACTGTATTTTGCTGGTATTTTATTAGTCCATCATTCATATATTCACTTCAATGGGCTAGTTGATGGGCTATGTTTACACAGAGCTCTGAAATAAATCACTAAATGATTGAAACATTAAACAATTGAGAGTACACTCTATATTTTTTGCTTCCTGTAAATTCCTGAAAATTAACTGTTCCTTAATTGCATATTTATAATTAGCATTGGCTAGTTGATCCATTAGGAATGGCACAAGGACTCAGTGTTTAAGAAGCCTGCCACATAACTGCAGAAATATTTTCAGACAGTTCTGGTTCAATGACCCTTGAAACAGAGCTGAGCACCATCCCTTATAATTGGCAATGACTAGTGGAGTAAAATCCTCAGGAATTCCTAGTTCCTCCTCATCAGCAGGTAGCAAGAAGTAGCTGAACATGGCAGGTCTTGGAAGCTAAGCAGTACTTGGATGGGAAAACAGTTGGAATTCTTGTTGTCTAACTAAGAATTTTAAAAAAGGAAAAAAATCTGTTATGTTGTCAAAAAAGGTAAATGTACACCGTCTTCAGGAAGCTGAGCCCACAATAATGTGTTTCAGAAAATACTGAAACTAATATTGCAGTATTAAATTAAATATGCAGTGTTTCCTATTAATTAGTATGTGTAAAAATTGCAATATGGAATCGTTGTCAAGGCATCCACATCTCTTGCACATTATATATTAGCACCGTTTCCATATTTTATACTCAAGGTTAATTTCATGTTTTATATTTTATATGTGTAAGTGGACTCATAAAATGAACCCTTTTTATGCCTATTTAAAAAGTGATACACTGTGTTAAGTAATGTAACATTCTGGCAATCTGTAGCTAATACATGTTGAAGTATAAATTTTATTGGTGGCACTGTTACCACTGGCTGTTGAATAATAACAGTTTTTCCAGCCCTTCAGACAGTAGGATAAAGAGGGGAAATGCCTCTTCCCAAAGATTAAAAGAAAGAAAAAGATAAAACTAAATAATAGCAAGTACAATGTTAGAGAAGATAGGAAGAAACAATTGAAATCATGGTGGCAGCAACAGGATGTAAATGAATTAAAAGTTTTACTGCTCCCAGTAGAAAAAAGAGGGAGTAGACAAGAGAGACCATCAAATATGTTGTTTTTCCAGTCAGTAATGAACTAATGAAAAAAGAGCTTTGGCTAGGGAACAAATATGGGGTTATTAAAGTTATCGTTAAAGACAGTTGAAAATTTTAAGAAGACTTGAGGGCACTTATCTGTAGTTATGTGACTAGCCAAAATGTAATCATAACCTATAAAGCACTAATAACTTGAGTCAAGAATGCTTGAAGAACAGCATACCATGCCTGCTCTGTACTAAGAATGTCTGCCAGTGGTGATTTGTACAGAATGAAGGGATCCCAAAAGACAGTACAGATAGTCCTTGCTTACTGACTGAATAATACAATAATAGAGTTGGAAGGGTCATTGTAGGTCATCTAGTCCAACCCCCTGCTTAAGCAGGAGACACTATACTATTTCTGACAAGTGGCTGTCCAGTCTCTTCTTGAAAGTCTCCAGTGTTGAAGCACCCACAACTTCTGAAGGCAGGCTGTTCCATTGAGTGATTGTTTCCATTGTCAGAAAATGTCTGTTTCTAGGCTGAAGCTCTATTTTATCAGTTTCCAACCATTGTTCCTTGTCTGGCCTTCAGATGCTTTGGAAAATAGGTTGTCCCCTTCCTCTCTGTGACAGCTCCTCAATTGGAACACTGCTATCATGTTACCCATGGTCCTTATCTTCACTAGACTAGCCATGTCCATCATTCAGTGACTGTTAAAAGTTATAATGGTGCTAAAACAAATTTATGACTAATACCCACATTTATGACCCTCACAGCATTCTCAATCATGTGATCACCATTATAGTCAGTATGGGTTGTCTTATGCCTGACATTTTTCTTTCTTTTTTTCCCTTGCAGAGCACAGAGATTGGAGAGGAAAAGATTACAAGAGAGTATGCTGGCACACAATGGAGAATACACAGTAAAAGGAATACAGTGACACTGGCAGTCATATGTGCATTTGTGGTTGTGAGTTGCAAGACTGCTATGCAAACAGCCTGGTATACTCCCCATTTAGTGCCTGCTTACTCTTTTGTAATCTTTTCATCTACAATAAATATAAATACCAATATTAATTCCCTTCTTGCTAATCATCCCAGCACTCCAAAGCAATCCAAAGGATGGGGGAATAAGGAAAGGAAAACACACTTTTGGTCAAATGATTTCCTATTTAGCAAGTATTTCACTTAATGACAGAGCTGCTGGTCCCAACTGTGATTGCAAAGGGCTACCTGTGTGACAAAAGCATTGTCAAGCTCTGGCTCTTTTCTGTGTATAATGTAATGTTGCATGTATGCAAAAGAAGAAGAGATTGTGGCATGATGTGCAATTTTGCTTTTATTCTGATGAAAGCAGAAGGATCAGTTGGATACCTATGTCTGCAGGAGTTTCAATTCAGTTCTAATTCAAGTCAATTATAAAACAGTCATCTGGAGGTTTGTCTATTGTTAGAGCCTTTACACTATTTGGCTATTTGATTGTTTATGTATGAGAGATTTAGGAGTTGCAAATATGGTACTTACCAATACAGTGAGAGCTCTGGAAGCCCTAGAATCCTCAGTGGACAGTTGTGGCCCATCTCAATGAATGCTGGCAAAACTGGCAGTTTCAGAAAGAACCAGTCAAGACAGTGTAGCTGGTAGATTAAGGAGCCATAATGGAAGTCAATGTGGATACTAGTATGATGTAAACAGAACTGTAGATCAGTATTGCATGATTCCCCTTTCAGTTGACTTGTGACAGGTGTGATTTGAATCTAATGGAGTTTTTTAGAGGGCCTATATAGTGTCATCTTTCCCCATAGAGTTTTCTAGATCATTGTAGATTTCTTTTTATGATTACATACTGTAGTTTCCTGGACTGAAGAACTACTTTTTGTCTGATGGAGCAGAAGTAAGGTGGTGCCTCAGGATAGAGCAGTGCAGCTGGATTGTGGAGGCAATGACAAATCAGAGTTTGCTTGTTTCAAGTGGAATTATTGTGCTGATTTGTCATGTTGCACTTCAGGCTAGCCCAGGCATTTTCCTATTAATGGATTATTTGGGCTGATCCTAGTCAAGTTACAAATTATAGATTATAGAGATTGTAGTGAACATACTTATTAATGGCCTTTGAAAGGATCAGAATGGGCATATATTTTTTTATTTTTTCTGATCTCTCAAAGGATTTATATAGCATCAATTATGGTACCCTTCTGGATTCTAGAATTGGGTGAGGGGGCTACAATGTAGTTCTCTTAATTTATCTATAGACAGTTATATTTAGTAGATGGCCACTCACTTGTAATGTGCTTCAAGGTCTATGCTCTTACTCTATGTCTATGCTCAAGGTCTATGCTCACACTCCTTCTCTTTAATATCTGCACAAACCTGTTGGTTAAAGTTATCTGTCAGTTCATGATCCATTGATGTGTTTATAATGCCCATACATCTTGGTCCCAGGTTAATCACTATTTTGTGCAATGTATAGAAACTGTCAGGATTTGGATATAAAGATCAGACTCCAGTTCAATCCTAACAAGACTAAATAGATTCCCTGTTTCTGGGAACTTTCTATCATTAGTCTTTAATAGGCTCATAATTGCTCAGTCTGAGGAGTTTCATGGATTTGCAATTTCTTCTTGAAGAGACAGTGACAGTTGTGGCCAAGAAGTCTTTTGCAAAGATTTATCTTAGGCACTAGTTCTGTACTACTATGACTAAGAATCTTGGGGATGTGAACTTTCCACAGCCTCCTAATTACATATAAATTAAGCCCTGGGAATTCTCTGCTTCAACCAAAACAAAATAAAGAAATAAAAAATTCCTTCCTTCCCTGGGCTGTAGTTAAAATCTGCATTTGGAGAAAAGAGAAAATACTTTAAAAAAATTGCTCAAGCCTTCTGCATAGACTGTATGAGGAATATTAATGTGGGGCTTTAAAGGCAAATTACTCAGTGATTCTCCTTCTCTCCCACAGATTAATGATAAACAGTAGCACATTTGTAAAATGATGAAATGTCTTGCTTTCCTTTTCCCTTTCTCAATTTTAAAAATCTCAAACAAAATTGAGGGACATCTCTATTACAAAGAACACAATTTTTATAAAACTCTATGGGAAGTATTGAATGGGGCTTTGGAAATCTAATCCAAATGCTTCTTTAGTGCACAGATTTGCTGTTATAGAATCCCAACATTCTGAAAATCCCAACATTCACTGTTGAACAATTTTCCATTAGGAAACTTTAGAATTTAAGTCAATTTAGAACATTTCTACATGATGGGAGTTCAGAAAATGAAAATATCTCTCTGTGGTCTTTTTTTTTTTAGGCTAAATGAACTTGGCACCTTTTCTATACTGCTAATCATCTTGGCTGTTGTTCTTTGGACAGGAAGTCAGTAACTTTTGTGTAATGTGACACCTAGAATGGAACAAACTATTCCAGGTGTGGTTATGAACAGTACAGAATAGACACAAACCATGACGAATCTTGATCTTGATACTATACTTTAGCTAAGGCAACTTTGGATAACATTTTTATTTTTTCATGGGTGCATTCTAATCTTGGGTCATGTTCACCTAGTCATCTGCCAAGACACCAAGGTCTCTTTCACATGTACAATGCCTAAAATTATCCCTCAGTCCTATGCTTATGACTTTGGTTTTTTTCTTTGTTTGGATTTTGGATTTGTCTTATTAAAATTCATCTTGTTGATTCTTTTCAAATTTCCAAATTTTCAGAACATGATTATCTTAAAGACAGCAGTTATAGGAAAGTAAATTTAACAGTTTGTAATGGTTCTACAGATTCAATATCATATATATCTTTTCATGCTATCCTCTTATAATAAGTAACTTATTTGCTCAATTTACATTAAATGTGAAGCACTATTCTAAAAATTAATCTTTGATATTACCCATTTAATTTGAAATCATAGAAATATAATAGATGATTTCTCCAAATTTCTTCATAAAAAAAATAAAAACTTGAACAAGCTTTCACTTGCAGAAGCCTGATTTAGCATTGACAATAGCATTAGTATTGGAAAAATTTTCTTCAGAAGAGTTCCTCCATCAATTCTCTCTTGAGAGAAGTAAAAGCAGAGGAAGAAATCAAATTTAATGACAACTAGTAGGGGAAAAAATGAAGTTTAATTTCTCTAGTGAGCACCAATTTGGTAACATAAGCCAAGCATTAATTTTCTCAGAATTCAAATTATTATAGAAAGATAACTTGCAAGAATGGGATTTCAAGTAGTAAAATAGCAAGGATACAAGAATCTGAAACTGACTAAGATGCAAAAGTATTTAAAACTCAATTCTTTATTTAGAGATCTCTCTATTGAAGGACTGTTTCATTGTTACACTAGACAAATATTCCCAATGCTAACATATGAAATAAAATTGTCTTATGATATGGCAGAATAGTTAGAAGATTGCCCTAGGATATTGGTAATATGATTAGGTCCAAGAGGTTCATTCTCTTTTGTTCTAATATGACTTTTCGTTTATTGTTTGCTTTTCATTTGTTTGTTTTCCCTTTTTGTTCTGCTTTGTGGCATCAAAGTTTTAGTTTTGGTGAAATATGAATCTCTCTCTCTCTCTCTCTCTCTCTCTCTCTCTCTCTCTCTCTCTCTTTCTCTCTGAAATATTAGAAACTATACTAAACAAATAGTCATTCTTTTTTAAAAACCAGTAGACACCTTTAAGGGCCACATGGGAAGAAGGACATGATATAAATAGAAAACAATAACAACAGTTTGGACTTTTGAGAACTTGTTATGAACACTTTCACAAAATTGCTGTCATAACAGGCATGGTCAGTCACAAGCTTTCTATTTATTGAAAATCAAACTGATATGAAGTTGCTTTCACAACATTACCCCCCCTCCTTCTTTTCCTCTGAATAGTGGCACTGTTCCATCAAAATGTTAGTTTTTACTCATTTCCTATTATTATTTTCTTAGAGTGTTTATCAACCTAAACTGGCATTTGTCCTTTTTTGCCAGTCTACCATTTTATTTTACTAATTAAAAGGATCTTAAAAGATTAGCAAGTAAATGGCATTTAGATGTCATTGGCACTGCATTGTGTAAGCTTATTATAGTATGTCAAAAAAGTGTATGCAATTAGAAATATTGAAGGAAGAAAGGAAGGAAGGAAGGAAGGAAGGAAGGAAGGAAGGAAGGAAGGAAGGAAGAAAGAAAGAAAGAAAGAAAGAAAGAAAGAAAGAAAGAAAGAAAGAAAGAAAGAAAGAAGGGACATATTTTCATTGCAGCATTATTGTAACATGTCATTATATAGGTAAAAACACTTACTAGGCTCCAACATGCCTCTTCCTAAAACTGCTCCAAAGATATTCTGCAGGGAACACAGTTTAATGTACATAGGCTGTCACATGAACTAGGGTTCTGTGCTTGGTTCACAAAGATGTCCATGAGTATATAATTTTACATGCATTTTCCTTTGTTAGATGAAATGCCCACCTCAGATATTACTGGAATGAAGTTTAGAGGGAAATGAAATTTAACCACAACTATCCTGTGAGGAACTATTTAGTTTTTGATTAAATTTGTTGTTCTAATTAAATCATTATTTTATATTTTGTAGAATACATTGCACTAGTTTTAACTGTGATTATTATCATGATAGGCCCATGCCTTTTCTGCTGAATTTCCCACTTACCAGGAGCATGGTATGAGAGATCCTCTTCTGTAATAACTCCCTTTTTGTGGTATAATGTGCCTGGAATCCTTGTTGTATTTGTTTCCTGATCTCTCTTGAAGACTGGCATGGAATGCCTTTAGGGATTGCTATATGGTGGCACTGCTCTTTTACAAGTTTCTCAATTATAGCTTTATTCACCATTTCATTTTTTTCTGATTGGCCTTGTAAACTGCCTAAACTCCAGTTGGCTTCAGGTAGTCAAATGAATTTCATAAATAAATAAATATGTCTTATTCCAAATTTATATTTCCATTCCACCAGCTTTGTAACTCTTCCTTTGAGTTCTGTAATTGTACTTATTCAAAACAGTTCCTTATATTTATCTTTATCTCTGCCTCTGTATTACACTGTTGTCCTCATTATATACAAAAATAAATCAAATGAAACAGCAATTTTGAGGGCATACAAGTTGTTTCCATTGGAAGTTCCTAAAGAAGCTTAGAATTTCAAGGATTTCAAAATGAACTGCTTAGAAACTATTGTGCTAAAAGATATCTATATCTAAGGAAAGGAAGAAGCATTAGAATATCAAAAATATTTCATTCAAATTCTTTCTTTCCACAACGTCCCATTGCCATAATTTGACTATTTTCTATGTAGAATGTTGTGGCCAATTAATTCTGAACTTTAGGGAAAATACTGAGAAAAAGAAATCAAGAAGAACATATGAATAGGATGGGTAGCTGTGTGTATTATTATTTCCATTTTGCTCTCATTCAAATCTGCCCAGTTTCTTCTATATATTTAATCAAAATTTCCAAGGACATCAATGATGGCAACAATGGTTTCAAAGTAATGTGGTATTATATGGAAAAAGAAAGGTCTGAGAGATACATGTTGTTTCTGAAGATGGTATCTTTAGTTAAAGACAGATCAATGATCTATATAGTAATTTACTTAAAATATTTTGTAGGGGATCTGAAAAAGCTTTCCAATCTGGAAAACATAGAATGTGTATTTTTCCTCTGAACTACATCTTTTTCAACTCTGTCTGTATTGCCTCTCAATTTACTGAAAGCTTTCTTTTCTCTCCTTAAGTTATTAAAGTACTAACAATACAGCAGAACATTTTGAAATGGAGAAAAAGATTCCAAAATTAGATTCTCCCCCACTGCTTACTCAGATCAGAACATTTTAAATATTGTCTGGGTGTAATTCAAACCAAATCTTGGAGAAATGGTCACTGAGAAATATTGTTCAAGCTTGGAAAAGATCTAAGAGATGATAAGCTTTAGAAAAGTGGCAAAGTGTGATTTAAAAAGGCAAGAGGAGTTTATAAACCTTTTTACATTACACAAGCAAAGCCTCATAGGATCTATCACTGGGCAACAGAGTTCA